ACTGTAAGCAGGGAAAGCTGCAGAGATCCAGGGAGTGGCAGAACGAGTATTTGTTTTTGAGCATTGCACAAGATCACTAGATTCAAATTAGCTAACCACCTTGAGTCAACTTGAGGCAAAGTTTCACTTGGTATTAAAAGCTTGAATCCTGGGTCACTTGATTTAGATCAGGCTAGACAACAGACATGAGGCTCTCGTGTGGGCTGGCTCCATCCGTCCTTTGCTCATATAAGAAGGGATCCAGTTAGTGTAATGCACTATTTGGCTTATTTTTGGTCTGTAATTATACCAATAGTACATCTGATATTCAGAAAGACAAAAATAGGGCATAGTTGAAATTTAAAGTGACAACGAGCACACTTAAGAGTGGTGTGTGATGGTTGAGAAAATGTTATACACACAGAAAACTACTGCTTAATTAGTCCACCACAGTAAGCTTTTAAAACTCAACTATTTTTCCTTTTTCATTTTTTGATTAGAGGTTTATGACTATCAAAAGCCACCTTGAGGACCTGGTGTCTGGTAGGCACGAATGTACCAAGACGACACGGGGGAAGCGGGGCGCGGAGGGGGTCACACTAACCTCAGGCTCCTGCTGACACCAGCACCGACCTGCACCACTGCTCACCTGATCAGCACAACTGAGGCAGGGTTGCTTCCTGGTTAAAAGACCTATATTACAGAATCCATCACTGCTTATGACCAGTCAACACAATATTCAAGTAACAAGGTGTTTAAATGAATATGTGAAAAAAAATTTTACCTAACACTTTACACATCTACATAAAATTAAATAAAACAAACTTTTAATGCATATGCAATACAACTTATATCTTTTAGGATTTCTAAACTAAAAGTTAAACTATCATTTGCTTCAATGGTACTATATTTTGCACAATAACTTATACTTAGGAGAAATTTTCCACAAAAAAAATATATAATTATGACATTCACATTGATAATTTTTAAGAAGACAAAGCTTAAGTGAACATTGCATCCAAAGCAGTTGTCACTGTGCACCCCTTACATATCCAAACACAGCCTGCTGATGCACCGAAGTCTTGATATGTTAAAAAGGGTCTTCCCATAAAATAAGATCAAATCACTTGGCTTCCAAAGCTAAGTGATTTCTTGCATTTACAACATCACTGCAAAGACAGTGTAATGAAACAGTTTAAAACACAGTGCTATCTTACGCATGAGACTACAATGAAGGCAAAGACAACTGCCTGTTTTCCTTCTGGCAAATGAAAACGACATGCCCCTCCCCCTCGGAGAGAAAGCCGAAATTCAGCTGCTGTGATAGCAAGTACTCCAGCACGTGACTCTTCAGGACTGGGGACCACTTGGTGCCAGGAACCAGGTAAGGGGATGTCTGAGCACAGACAGAGGCCTGGCACTGCCGGGATGCCTGCCGCGCCACACAGGACCCAGCACCAAAACCTTCAAGCACTGCCAAAGGGGATCGATTCTTAAGGAAAATAGCCTGGGGGTGAAGAGAGGAACAGCAGCTCTACTGGCAGGGAAACCACTGCAGCAAATTGCCTACTGCTTCCGTTAAGAGGAAGGAGGTCTCGAGAAGAAGCAAGGAGAAGCGAAATCTTTCAGGCCTAGCGTCCCCTTTGAGCGACGTGCAAAACTTATGCCGCCTCTTACCCACGTTTTTCCTGCCATTTTCCAATCACACAGCAGGCTCATGATAAAAACAAAATGAGCCCTAGGCTGTGACTAGTGTTACTGTGCCGCCCCGTGTAGGTGGGAGCGGCGAGCTGTGATGCCCCCAGCCCCTCTCACGCTCTCCTTCACCAGCTCCTCGTCAACAGACACCTCTCGCAGGGACAAGTGTTGAAAACCGGCAAAGTCCCATTTCACTCCCCTTTCGAATGACCTTTCTCCAGATTTCAAAAAAAGAAGTACAATTCCAAACAATCTAGGTTTCTTGCTGACCCTCTTCCTAAAGAGAAAACCAGCTGACTTAAAAAAAAAAAAAAAAAAAAAAAAAAAAGCCAAGGTGCTTGGGAGGCAAAACACATCAAATTTTAATTGCATATTTCAAATTCTTAAGAATTCTGTTTATGCCTTAAAGCATCTGCAATTTTTTTTCTTTTTGGTATTGAAAGCACGAAAAATATTTAAATGATGCAAAAACCAACAACAAAAAAAAGCTCCTTCAACACATTTAGTGCAGGCTGAACCAACCGGGGGATGGGGAATGGGTCACATTAGAGCACACCTCGCAGTCTACCCTCAACCCCTCAAGAGCCCACGGTCTGGCAAGAGAATAAAAGTGATTATGGAAGTTTTAAACATTTATTAAACATTTGTAATTGTTCCCAGTCCAACCAAAGGCATTACATACCACTTCGCAGACTGTTTCTTTCCATCTTGGTCTCACTAGAGCCAATAACTAACTGATCACGTCTCTGTCCTGTACTATTGATATAATATTGAGAGAGGATGGTGCTCACGTGGTCACATCAGTACATGACGGACACAGAGGCTATGTGGAGTGACATGTGAAAGGCCAGGCATACCAACAGGACGGGGAACAAACAGCACGTAGCTTTTATAAAACCATCACCAGCTACTCCAATACCCTTTATTATTGCCCTAACCTGACATTTAAAATCTGCACACTGTCAAGAACCTGCAGCAAGTTCTCCCCTGTCTCCTAATCTCAGTGATGTCATCTTTGGCAAGCAATAAACTTTAAAGAAGAAATAAGACACCGAAACAGAAAAAGGGTTGAAAACATGGTTGCCAAAAGGAGAAGGCACCAATTCCAAATGTACAAGCACCAGGTACAGTGGTATAGACCAAATCTCTTGGAGTTGGGCGGTGGTACGGGTGGGGGGTCAGGAACAGACAGGGTGACGCCCATCCTGGGGTGACGATCTGAAAGTTGACGGCACGAAGTGTTGAGTCCACGTTCCCTCTGAGCTATAGTGTCCAAGGACAGTTGCTATGAATGAGCTTTCTATCTCGCGGGAAGGGAGAAGGGAGAGATTGAAGCCAACTAAATTTATAAACCATAATTATACCGACATTTAGGGAAATGTGAGTTGTGTCAGGCTGTTTGGCACGATAAGGGTTATAATGCAGTCTGCCAATATATTGTGATTTCCAAAGAAGCATGATATCACTTAGGTGGATGCCTCAGAAAAGAACAAAGGAAACTTCCCAGAAGGCCAATGGGGTCACAGTTACTCTGAAAATTACATTATGCACAAAGTAGAGCTTGCAGGCCATGCAGGAACAGAGTCACGCCTTCCGAGTCGACTACCTGTTCTGAAGCCGCCGACGGGGAAGAGCTGCTGTTGGTGGGCCGGGGCTCCGACTGAGGCGGTGGTCCCCAGGGTCGCAGGAGGCGGGCAGGCCACGGGACCCCCCTCACTTAGGCAGAGCGAGAGACGCAAAGAGCTCTCCGGGAAGTGGCGCCAACACGGAGGAACGAGCAGAGAATTAAGGCAGATGTAGCACAGGACTGGAAGTGTATGCCTTTTTGGTAATAGCTGCTTGTCCACAGAGATGTGATGCAGATGGCTAGGTGATGTCTTGTGATACCTGAATCCTGGATAACACAGTCGTCCATACCAAGTGCTCAAAGCCACCAGAGTTTCTCATGAGGCAGATGCGTATCTGACGTCAAGAACAGAAGCAGCCTGAGCAGAGGAGAAAAAGCAGAATCAAAGACAGGTAAACAATACAGGGGGCTTCCCCGGTGGCCAGTGGTTAAGAATCCGCCTGCCAATGCAGGGACATGGGTTCGATCCCTGGTCTGGGAGGATCCCACATGCTGCGGAGCAACTAAGCCCGTGAGCCACAACTACCAAGCCCGTGCGTGCGCCTAGAGCCCGTTCTCTGCAACAAGAGAAGCCACCGCAATGAAAAGCCTGTACACCGCAACGAAGAGTAGCCCCCGCTGGCTGCAGCTAGAGAAAGACCGTGCACTGCAACAAAGACCCAATGCAGCCAAAAATAAATGAAAATAAAATAAATAAATTTATTTTTAAAAAAAGACAGGCAAACAATATAAACTGCTAACTCCAGTCTGGTGCAGCCCAACCCACCCTGCCCCGCAAACACAGGGCCCCGAGGCAATGCCTGTGCTGAGGCCAGGCGGGCGGACGGAGGGCGAGAGTGTGGCCCCTGCGGCCACGTGTCTTGGGTTCAAATCCTGGCTCTGTCCTTTCTAGCTGTGTGTCCTTGGACGAGGTATCATTTCTCTTTGAGCTTCAGTTTTCTCATCAGCAGAATATACATAATAACGATGTCTACTTCACAGGATTAAATAAGAATCCCTGCAAAGGGCATATCAGCACAGTGCCTGGCAAACAGCAACACTCAGGTGTCCTAGGACCAGCCGGAGGGTACACCATGGTGCCTACCCCGTTCAGCAAACAGCCACCAGAACATGCTGGGGTACAGACGATACCAAAGATCGCAGGATCTTCTTAGAAGCTTCAAAGGCATTTCTTAACTCTCTACTCTCATTTTTTAAGACTGACTTCCAGACCCAAGCCTACAAGTCACAGAGCTCACTGCTACCCCCGTGGTGCCTTACTTCTAAGGAAACAGCTGAGCTAAGAGTCCAAAATCTGAAAACAGCTGCGCCTTCAGGTGAAATCCCAATTTATGAGAATGGTTGTTAGTCAAATCAGATTTCTCCTCACTAGTAATACACTCAATCATTCTATAATTTTAAGCGAGAATGTCTATCTCCAATTCAGTTACTTTTAGCATCCCTCTGTGCTTTTCTGACACCTCCCCGTACTCTATCCTTGGCCACCCCAGAGAACTCTTTTTTTTTTGTTTGTTTTTTAAGGTACGCGGGCCTCTCACTGTTGCGGCCTCTCCCATTGCGGAGCACAGGCTCCGGACGCGCAAGCCCAGCGGCCATGGCTCACGGGCCCAGCCGCTCCGCGGCACGCGGGATCCTCCCGGACCGGGGCACGAACTCATGTCCCCTGCATCGGCAGGCGGACTCTCAACCACTGCGCCACCAGGGAAGCCCCCCCCCAGAGAACTCTTGAGTCTCAAAAGCTCAACCCTCTTGGGCTGCTCTCCCTCCTTAGCTCTGAAGGAAAAAAAAGCCCGCAGCTGACAGACCGCTATGTTTCCAGAACTTCTCAAATCTGATGGCCTCCTCCCTGTCTGTGCTGCATAAATATATAAAACCCGAGGGCAGGCAGGACACCAGCAGACATCTTTCTCAGCAGCTGGATTCCAAAGGATAAACAAGAATGGGAAATTACAAGGACACTAAGTTCTGAGCACTGATTAGACAGACAATTAACCAGTTCCCTTAGGCCCTTGGTGGACACAGAGAAGCAGCTGGTCCTTACAGATTAATTTCCTTCTGCAAACTAACATATGGAGAACAGAAAACCAGGGTGGTGAAGCAGGAGGGCTGGTACCATAAGAAACATAAAAAGAAAGGGAGGGACTTCCCTGGTGGGTCAGCGGTTGAGAATCCGCCTGCCTGTGCAGGGAACATGGGTTCGATCCCTGGTCCAGGAAGATCTCACATGCTGCGGAGCAACGAAGCCCGTGCGCAACAACTACCGAGTCTGTGCTCTGGAGCCCGTGAGCCACAACTACTGAGCCTGCGAGCTACAACTACTGAAGCCTGCGTGCCTAGAGCCCGTGCTCCGCAGCAAGAGAAGCTGCCGCACTGAGAGGCCCATGCACCACAGGAAGAGGGGCCCCTGCTCGCCGCAACTAGAGAAAGCACACATGCAGCGACGAAGACCCAACGCAGCCAAAAATAAAAATAAAATAAAATAAATGTATAAAATAAAAAAATAAATAAAAAGAAAGGGATAAAGAAAAGGAAATATAGGCATGCACGTGCGTGCACGTCTGTGTGTGTGTGTGTGTGTGTGTGAGAGAGAGAAAGAGAGAGAGAGAGAGAGAGAGAGAGAGAGAGAGAGAGAGAGAGAGAGAGAGAGAGAGAGTGAGTGAGTTAGTTTTAAATGACTAAAGAAGTGAAAAAATTTCAAAGGAGCTATAAAGATTATATATTCGGGTTGAGTTAGAGAGAGAGAGAGAGAGAGGGAGAGAGAGAGTGAGTGAGTTAGTTTTAAATGACTAAAGAAGTGAAAAAATTTCAAAGGAGCTATAAAGATTATATATTCGGGTTGAGTTAGATAATCCCATTCCTTCTGAAGAGCAGGCTGGGTAAACAGACACAGGGAACATCAACCATCAGAGAGAGAGAGAAGACGTGCTGCTGGGAGGGAGAGGTCACCTATGGACGAGCCAGGCAGACAGGCTGAGGGGACTCTGATGTGCCATCAGCCCCGCAAGTGGACCATGAAGGATGGACTTCTGGACTAACGAGAAATGAGGAAAATGTAGCTGACTTAACCTAAGCTAGTCAGTCAAAGAGCCAGAGGCCTAAGAAAATCATGACCCTGGGCCCTAAATCTACTATCTCATTTCTATGCTAACCCTGCTGAAGCTGTGGCTTTGATTAAATTTGAGAGGCAGGAAATCTGAGTTTCCTATTATTTCTGCTTCCTGGGACTTAAGTCAGAAAACATACTTGGAAGAAAGCTTTCACTCTTGCAAATTCTGACGTTCTTTCCCCAGCAATCCTCATCTTTTCAGTGCTTCCTAAATTGAGTCCAGGACTTCAGGGAAATTAATTTGTTGCTAAAGGGGAAATTAGCACACAGACAAAAATCACTGCCAACAGAGAAAAACACCTTTGTTGTGCTCATATGCTATCCTGCTCCATGCGCAGGCCATGCCTGGGTGTGACTCAAGGACCCCACTCACATTGTCAGTACTATAGGTTTTGTACACTTAACTACAAAGATTTTCTGGTAGAAGGCTCTAAAGAGTCTAATTCTAACGGAACTAGTGTTTGTCTCCTGACAGGCCTCGCAAAGCCACCCGCTGGGTGTCCTCTTCACAAGGCTCTCCCCCGGGGCGGGGGGAAGGGCGGCAGGGGCAATACAAAAGAGGCAACTCCAAATCACTCCTGCCCCATTTGGGGAAGATGCTGATGAGAAAGTGATAAGCAAATTAGCCCTTAAATTGCCATGTCAGTGAGCAAATGCAAATGTTAAAGGCAGCAGCAATGAACTCTTGGCTCCCAGCCCTGCCTCAGCGTCCGTGGGCGGGGGGGAGGTAAAAGTGCAGAGGGAGGGGCAGCCTCCACAATCTCCCCCACCCCGACCTCTGCTGCCCGGGCTGATGAAACCCGTGCCACCACCCAGGAGACGACCAGGATGCCAGCCTCCATGCAACCCAGGACCTACAAGTGTCCCCATCAGTACTCCAGCAGGTCAGCCCCAAAGAGCAGCACGGCAAGCGGATGTGGAAGCAGACAGACCAGGAACCTGCAGACTCGCCGGTACGCTCATAAACCTCACAGGAGATGACAGCACATTTCACACAACTGAGCTTTACTGATACTCAAGGCACTTCTAACTTACTGTTTTAGGGCAAAGCTGTCATTGTATTTAAGGAAATATTGGTAATGTGGAATATTTTGTGGCCGGAGGAAACCAGGATGGAATTAAGAATTTGTCCAGAAATTAAAATGTGAATAATATACGCAGTGACCAAAAAGTGACTGAAGTCAACACATGTATTATGGCATTTACAGGTAAAAGTCAAGTTACTGACATAGCTGAAACCTAAAAGTATTTCTACAGCTGGAAAAGGTCATCAATGAAGACACTAACTGGAGAACTGAGTCTGAATCTGGCAGAGATCAACTGTTTCAGACTTACCTCGTCTTCCTCTTCAGGCATCTTGACAGAATTATCCGGGGACGTTACAGGTTTCTGGTTACTGGGACCATTGGTTTCTTCTTTCCCGTGTTCTGCCTCCCATTCTTGTAAAACTTCATCTATGTTGAAGCGGCGTCGATAATTTACAAAAAAGTTTTTCACTTGTACCACTGATTTGTTCCCAATCACATCTGAGATTGCCTGAAAATCTCGGCCGTATTTCCTAATGGCTAAGGATGTAAGAAAGCATTTTTTTCAACACAAGAAAAATATAAAAAACACACACACACAATTGAGACTTACCCCTTATCCAGATAAGGAGACATAGAGGCTTTCAACAGCAGGTACTATCTTAGCGTACTAATGGACAGGAGTACTATAGAGTCCAGTGTGGACGACTGGCAGAGACACTCCGTGTGACCCTGTCACGCAGGGTCTGCGCCTCCCTGACGTATGTCGCGTGGTAACTGAAGTCACCCAGCAATTGCCCTATGCCATGGACATCCTACACTAGTCTCTTCAGGGTCCCCAGGACTAGAACACCTCCAACCATACAACCCCAACACGCGAGCTCTACTTCCTGACTCCTCAGAACCCAACGAGGAGCTGCTAAAGTGAAATACACCTTTAAACACGGAGGCTTCCGGATTAATTTTTACATCTTGTGAGACATGGGAAAGGAAAAAAGCAAAGCCCAAAGAGAATGCAGTAATTTAGCTAAAATGATGCCCACTAGAAGGACATAATCCTCCAAGGATTTGTTTCAACATGAATGATGTGCTGGGAGCAGGATGGGGTATAATTTTTTCCTGAAAGCGACTGCTGTTCCTAAACCTTTATTTTATAAGAACTTCCTCCTACCTTGTACGGCGAGAAGCTGCTCCTCTGTGGTCCAACGTGCGTTACATTTCTGAATGACCTGGGTATCCAAATGAGTCCTATTAGCATACTACCTTTAGAGATGAGTATGTCCTTATGAGGATTAATGAATCTTTTTCTCATATCATAATTCTAACATCAACTAGGTTTATAAAGTTATGTCTATACCTTTCCTTCTAAGAGATGTGTACTGGAGACACAGACAGTAAATTCTTAAACACATAAACTCAGGTGTGACTTCAAAGATGATGTTAACATAATCCTACCTCTGGAAGTCGATATGGTTCTATTCCACCATCAAGTTTTTCTTTGAGAGCACTGTTCGTCTGTTTAATATTCTGAATCTAAGGGAAAGA